CATCATGTCGCATCGGCTTTTCCGATCTATTCTATAGGTATATAGATCTTATATAGATCTTATGAGATCTTTAATTATTCATCAATTTGCTCGTCCGTTTCATTTGTTGGCCCAGCGCCCAATGTGGAACAATAGAATACGAGTACGTGGGACATCCTTCAGACCTTCAGTGGGTTTCACGTTGCGTTTCCATACGCTTCTGGCGGGTGTATACTGACATATCGATTATATTCATACATAATCATACTCTTGATATATATGTCTGTATATATATATATTATATGCAGTATTACACGGCGACTGCTCATCTTTGTCCCCCCCAACAGTGTGTCCACGCTGAAGGATTCTTATGGTGGCGGGCTCGTTCAGGGTTCGTTCAGGGTTCGCGTTCTGGCCTCCGGGTTATGTCCACGCCGGCTCAGAGTTTCCTTGTGAGATGTTCGACTGCAAAGGCTCGCACAAATCTGCGCGCCACTATGCGCTACCTAACTCATATTTGGAGGTCTACTTTTACCTGTGCACCGTGTCCGTTTCTGGGGCTATGCGCGATTTGCCCGGCACGTGAGACTTCCAAGACATTTTGAGGTCTGGAGTGTCGTTTTGCGTGACAGGTGCAAAACTTACGTTGCTAAAACATTGGCAGGGGCGGGTCGACATGAGAGGTGGTTTCAGAGGTCATTTTTCATGGCAGGCGCAGTATTTGGTGAACCTGGACGATGTTGGGCAAGGCTCGAGAGCCTCGTCTTGTGAAGCTGTCGTCATTTGTGACTTGATGCGTGATGGTCATTTTGCGTGGCTTCGATGTCCTTCTGATGCCTGGGGCTCTTTTTCGTGGCAGGCGCAGTACTTTGTAGACCGCGGCGGCAAAGAAGCGATCAAAACTTTGGTAAAACATCGCTCTTACATCTTGACAGTACATGTGCTTGCACAACCCTCTTGTCACTTTGTACCTGCCAAATCGCTCTTGTTGTGGCGCTGCGCCCATTCTATCTCCTGAGAGGTCCTGTGAGGAGCCCTTATGAGAACAGGTCTGCGGTGAAATCCCTTAAGAAGTCCTTGCATGATCTTGTAAAGGCCCTGTGCGAAGATCTTGCGAAGATCCTGGTGACATACTGCCCTAAGAGGTCCATGATGGTCCATGCATGAAATTGCATGAAGATCTCTTGTTTCTTTCTGTTTCTTCTGTTTCTTTGCCGGAGTTGTTTTGTTTCTTTCTCTCTTCCCCTGGGTCCTGCTGGAGCCCTTTTATCTGAGGGCCAGACCCCCGAACGGCCCTCTGCAGCTGGCTTGGCTGCCATGGAGCCACCTGCCCATGCAGAGTTGGATCGGGCTGGATCACGTTGGATCGCGTTATGTGCTCTGGACTCTGGACATCTTTGGACGCAGGGACCCATTCTGAGCTGAAAAGGGGGCCCAATGGGCAAATGTGCAAAATGCGAATGACAACAAAACAGTGCAATCTATGGACAAAGGCGCACATCATAATATGTAATAAATATTTTCGGATCAATATTAAGACCTGACTAAATATAGGCGACACGCTTGTGGGATTTTGGTCTCGAATGCATTTCAAGATGTCAAGCCCAGGCCAATGTCCTGCCTTCATGATCCCGCTTTTTGCGTTCATCCGGGCCCTGCCAGGTGCAGTGCGATGCCCAACCATGCCCAACCATGCCTTTCCAAATGGAAACTGCGTGGACTCATTGCTGTGCACCCGGGCTGCTTCCAGAAGAGGTTCACCATCTTTTTTGTCAGCCTGTGTTCCAAAAGCGACAGCCAACTTGGCAAACAGTTGGGCCATCCAAGAAGCGATCCAACCAAACCAAACTAACCAAACCATATGGAAATGAACAGCTTCTCATGATCCTGGTGGCATTTCGTTCTTTGGCACATGAAGTCGAAACTGTCTGCTCAGAGTGGTGCTTTGACATCTCCAGATTTGCCCCGCTCTAACCTGAAACAAAATGTGTCAGAGCTGGAAGCACCAACTTAGCAAACCACCATAAAGTTTGAACACCGATGAATATGTTTGAAACGTGTCAATACTATTTGGGACAAATTATCGGCCCGAATGTGCAAAATGGCACGATATTCTTAGCCAACTTAGTGCGCCAGGGGCTGGAAGACTCAGCTTCGGACCGCCCAAGTTTGAAGAAACCCATGCGATCCAAACGAACCTTAGACACGACTCAACTGCAAAGATCATAATGCTGTTTCAGAAATATTCCACTGAAATAGGCAATCATCAAGCAATGTCAAAACATGTCAAAACCAAATCCACTTCTGAGCCACCTGCTACAATGCTACACAGCTGAGCCCCTGGGGCCAGCCTCAGCTCCATTGTGGCCCCAACGTCGGCCCCAAAGCCACTTGTATTGGGTCAACTAGCAATGACAAATATGACGCACATATGAAAGCAAACGCAATGACAACCACGACAACGACTAGAGAACCGCAATGAGAACTTCAACTATGAAGCAAAACGGCAAAACATGCAAAC